TAACGAGAGAGCGATTTCTAATATCAGCAACAATTGTCCTGCTACCGGATATTGCTTAGATTGCCTTGGAGTCCAAGAAAACTGTGGATTTTGTTATGCTCAAGACTCTTCCAATAATCCTATATATGGTTCTTGTGTTCCAATCAATCTATCTTCTAGCGAGAACACGGCCGCTTTTGGTAGATGCAGTCGCAAGGATCATTCAGTAACATGGTCGTACCAAGCTTGTCCTAACAAGTATGCGTGGTTAGCAACTTTTGCTCTTGTATTGTTCATCGCCGCGTTCGGTCTGGGGATGGGGCCGCTGCCATGGACGATTAATTCTGAGATCTTCCCCCTATGGGCCCGTAGCACGGGGTATGGGTTTGCTATAGCTGTAAAATGGTTAACTAATTTGATGCTATCCATGACTTTCCTGTCTCTAACTGAATGGATTACGAGTTTCGGGGCGTTTTGGCTGTACGGGGGAATTTCGCTTCTGGGTTGGTTGTTTTTCTTTGCTTATCTTCCTGAGACGAAAAATAAATCGCTAGAGGAATTGGAACATTTATTTTCATAGTATATGATAACATTTTAAATTTTGTCTAGTTAGTCAAATTAATTTTTTATCAGAGAACTCAGAAGTAGCTGCAAAAGGGAAGTACCATCCAGTAGTAGAGGAGCAGAGATTGGAGATCGTTTTTTAGTGATGCGCAATAACTTAGATTTCTTTGTATTAAAGCTTATTTGCGTATGCACTGTTAGCTTTTGGTGACTAAAAATTTTGCTTGTTGATCGCTATACGTACCAAATGTAATTTAGCATGAGATGAAAATAAATAAAGATAGCGTGCTTTTTATTCTTCACTTTTGAATTTTTTTCTTGGCGATGTTGTTACTACACTAGCTCAGTTGAACAAGTTCAAACAATGAATAACAAAATTCTGGGATACGGGATGAGAAGAAGCCGAAAAAAAAACAAAAAAAAAAAACAAAAAAAAACGAAAGAGCAGGTTACGAACTTACGGCCTTCGCCTTTGATGGAAAAGCGGCTTTGGAAAGCGTTGTTCTGGAGTTTACCCGCCTGAAATTGGCGCGCTTGTTCTGATTACTCGAAAACCATTACACGCGAGAGAAAATAAGATAGCCATAATTCGTGGAAGTATTTTTACGAGCGTTTTTATTTTCCTAGTTTTTGTTGCTTTTTGTGGTTGCAAAAGACTGGTTTGGAAAAACGTTAAAAATTTTGTGCCCTAAATGTTTCGTGAACTCTTTGCGGATTCAAGGTTCTCTGAATAGACTCCATGGAGTCAGCTGATCGATCTTGCCTCGATTTCATTATCGCTCGAAAAACGCGGGAAAATTGTGTCACGTGAACAGATCAGCCGGAGAAGACGACAGCATGGCGGTAAGTGAGCTGTTCATTGCAGAAAAAATTGATTTTACTTCGTTAAAGCAAAGCCTCCTTCTCTTTATTTACCGTCGATTTTCATTGCTTTTGCAATATAAAGTTCAGATATCTTAGTCTGTAACCACTTCGATCGTTGTTTAGACAGTTACCAAGCATGCTTTCTCCTTGCAGAATGAGTTCTATCGATCGATCATTCAAATTCACAACATGCGAAGACATGATCGATTACTTCAGAATTTAAATCTTTAAAGCTTTTGATGTTGGCTGTGTCCAACTTTCTATAATGAAATCGCTTTGGTAGAGAGTAAATGAGCCTGAAGTACACGAATTTTTCTTTACTAGGTCTTATTGTAGCGAGCGAATTGTACAAAATTTGTCAAGGCTTCATTTGTACGGTTTCGCGCTCAAGTTGTCGTAGACCTCCGACAGATCTTTCCTTTTTGAAATTATTTTTAAAGAAAGAGAGTCTTTGATTGAAATTTCAGATCACATTTTCGAGTCGCATTACAAATTCCCTTCGCAAACTTAGATGAAAATGTAGGGAAGCAAAAAGGAGAGTTTGCGTATTTATCAGTATTTTTCTAAAACTCGATAGGAATCTTCAAGCAGTATTGGTGTACCCAGCAGTCCTCACAGAGCAGATGGCTTGACGTCAAGTCCAGGAAGGGATCTGCCACCGTTTGAAGATGAAACAGATGCAGTCCTTGGTAATGATGATGTGGGAGAGGAGGAAGAAGGGGAAGAGTTGTTTGGTGATCGAATGGAACAGTGAGTTTCTTTGAACTTTTTTTATAATTTTCACAGTTAGATCTGTTGATTTGAGTGGTAAAAATTTAATCCAGTACTGATAGCCTTGCTAGATTTGACAGGATCGTGTGCAGTTAAGGGAAAATTCTAACCCTTTCACCTCAAGATTTAAATAGTAATTCTCTATACTGTTTGCCATAAATTACACCTTTTAAGAGGTTGAGATGTGAAAACTATTAATGCCATTTTTATTTCAATGAACAGAGATTACCGTCCAATTCCAGCCCTTGATGTCTATGATCCTGCTGCATTAGATGATGAGGACTTTGATGAGATGACACCAGAAGCTCGGCAGGAAGCTGAGCGTCTCATGAGGAAGAGGGACAGAGAAGAAGCTGCTGCAAGAGGAAGACTTCATAGGGGACTTCTTTATGGTATTTACTGAATATTTGATATTTTTGTTTATTTTGTAATAGAAGTGAAGTTTCGTCCTTACTTGTTTACAAAGCAGAGATTAAAATAGAACTTGTGAGATCTGGGTTTTGTTTAAAGCTCTTGCCACTCTCTATTTAGCTGGTAAGCACTGTTTTTGATGCTAAAAATTATATTTCTGAGCTTCTATATTTCAAATTTATTCCTGAGAGAGCATGCTTCCAGACACCCCCAAGGGGAGAAGGGTGAGGATTGTGGTCTTATGGCAATGATCATAACTGACATTTTAGGGCTTGCTCATAAAAAAAATGTCACTCATAACATTAACCTTCTAACTCCCAAGATCTGATTGTTAATTCTCCCTTCTAGCTGCTATATATTTCCTCATAAATTAGTTATGAAAATTTGGAGTTAGATCAAGATAATAACTTCTACCTGATAAGTTTCAATATTCTTACTACCTGTTTACTGTACAATTTATGGATATGGTAGGGAGAAATTACATGATAATCGCCTCTGAAAGTGAAAGGGTTAACTCATTTATAGATGAAACTGATGAAGAAGACGAGGAACAACCAAGACGCAGACGAAGACTGGCAGAAAGGGCTGCTGACGGTGACATGCAAGATGAAGATGAGGTACAGGGGATCAACACCTTACTAAAAATTTCTAGTTATAATTAAGTATTAGTAAAGTGGATTTGATGTAGCTTAGGAAGGGATATTTTTGTTTTTGTCCTACAAAATCCCATGATATGTCTACTTAAACCTACAGACATCAAATGGAGGTTCTTGTAGTTCTGATTTTTGGTTAATCATTTTGTTTAATTGATGGTTATAATTTATCAACAAATCTACTCATGGCAAGCAGAATAATGCAAGTCAATCTGTGAGACTTAATTCACTTATCCATTACACAAGATCAAGGCCATGTATGTCAGTCAGTCCAAGATTGCGTTGAAAAGCTAGAACAGTCTGGCTTCAGATCCACACCTGTGGGATACCATGAAAGCTACAGGACTAGCAGTTTCAAATGAATCTGTCAATGATAAAGTTGACCCATTTTTTGTTTTCATTTATCTCTTTATAGCTCATTGAAAGCATAGAAAACCTTGAAGACATGAAAGGACATTCTGTTCGTGAGTGGGTGTCCATGCAGGCTCCACGCCTTGAGATCAAGAACAGATTTAAACAGTTTCTGCGTTCCTTTGTTGATGACCAAGGGAAAAGTGTGTACAGAGAGAAAATTTCGCAGATGTGTGAAGGTAATTGTGATCAATCCTTTTGGATCAAAAAATCTCCATTCTGTTCTCTATATATTTGGCATGGCACTGATAATGAGAGGTTGTTTTAAAATCAAGAGCATTTTTAGTTGAGGATCATTTTTCTTATTCTCATGACCCTATTGTTTGACTCAGAGGTTTGACTGTATGGAGAAATTAGATGCTTGTCAATGGTGGGCAGTTAAGACCATTTAAAGGTTAAGATAATATCTTCCTGTACATAAAATGCTGCTTCACCTCTACAAAATAAACTAAACCTGAATCCTATACCAATCCTTATTTTTGTGACCTGTTCACTTACACTTGTTATACAGTAGAAAATTATTGAAATTGTTAATGAACAGTTTGTGGTATAATACTATCACAGGGTTCAAAACCCAAAATAGTTTATATTCTCGAAGGAAATAAAGCATTCATGATGTTGATTTTTAAAGTCTTTTTTTGTCTGTAGCAAACAAACAAAGTC